GGTGGATTCACCATCCCTGGAGGTTTTCAAGATGTGACTGGATGTGGCACCTAGTGCCATGGTCTAGTAACCACAGTAGGGTTGGACTCAATGATCTTTGAGGTCTCTTCCAACCTAGTTGATTCTATGATTCTATAAGTCCAACTGTTAGCCTGTCACTCTGCTGTAACCCCTAAACCTTAAACAGTATCTTCCAGTGCCAGGTCCAGATGCCTCTTAAACACTTCCAGGAATGGTGACTCCACCACCTTCCTGGGCAATCTGTTCCAATGCCTGACCACCCTAACAGTGAATTTTTTTCCTAATATCTGCTCTGAATCATCCCTGTCTCAGCTTATGGCCCTTCCCTCTAGTCCTGTCACTGCAGGCATGGCAGAATAGGCCACCTCCCACCTCTCTACAACTCCCTTTCAGGGATACTTGCAAAAGATTTGCTTTAACATGGCAAGTTAAACAAAGGTTGGGAAATCAGATGTAGTTTTGCTTAACTGTAATTGTAGGCCTGGAGCTGAGCTTGTTGAATCAAGCCCAGCAGCAATCAATCAGGGCAGCTGACTGCAATGCAGTGCGTGTGCTCGTGGGCAGTGGATGGTGTGTTAGGGGTCAGTCTGGTACATTAAAGATGCCATGAGGCTCTGTCATGCTTCCAGGGCAATAGGGTGTCCTATGGATGTGCTGTATTCTGGTCCATACTGCACAGCATCACAATCCTATGGTGACTTAGGGAACAATACATCATTCTGCAGTGCTCCGTAGGATTTCTCGATTTGCTTTTCTATTTACTGCTGCTAGTCAGAAGCACTTGGCCTTGTGCTTCTTGACTGCTGTTTGCAATTCAGCGAGTGGGTCTGGCTCTCCCAAAGGGAGGGTGAGGGATGACAGGTTGGAAAAAGCCTGTCCCTGAATTGCTTTGCAACCTAATGCTCATGCAGACTTATATTTGGGCAGGCTCAGGTGCTGCCTGGGTAGGTAGGTCATTGCCAGTCTGTGTTAGTGAGATCTCAGCTGGAGTGCCACTGGCTCTGCACACTGGGCAGCATCTCATACACCTTGGCTCCACATGACTGTGGATGCCTGGAGATCTCACTGACTGTGATAAGAACCAACAAAATCTGCAAGAGTACCTGGTCATGGTGTGTTGAACACACACCCATTATTGTGTTGCTGATAATTTTTCCTCATTTCAGTAAGGATGGATCTGACCAGTATCATGGCCAACTCACAAGTTTCATATGATGCTTTCATCAACACAAAACCATTCAGTCTGTAGCAGGTTTAGACAATGTTGGGAAATTATCTAAATATAAATACTTAGGATAGGCAGAGGTGTGTTCCTGAGAATGGGTGTTCAGTCAGAGCCAGTCTGAGGGTACCATTAACTTGAGGAAGAAAACCAGAATTTACCATTTCTGAGACAGTAATGAAGAGTAAATCAGGCAGTAAAATATAGATGTTCCTTGACAGGAAATTCCACTGTAGTAAACTACCTATAAGCACTTCAGGAGTGAGTGCATAGGAAGAGAGCTCAGAATGACCTGGATAAAGAGCAAAACTGGTATTGAAAACTCTGGCAGTAAGAAAAATCCAGGCAGGGTAGCAGCCTGAACATAGCTAAGAGGCAGGTGTCTTTAAAGAGCAGAAATGCTTGTTTCTTACTCTCTTCTGTAGAGGAACTGTCACGATATGAATAACTGCTTTTGGCATCTGTGTGTGGAAGGAGGTGTGTGATCAGTGTAAGCAATTTTGGGGCATAGCCCACTGAAATCTCACTGGCTGGGGCTGGGAAAGGTTGATAAAGCATTTGACAAAGTCTGACCGAGCCCCCTGGTCTCATGTCTCACCAAAGGCCACACTCCCCAGAGGAGATGTGTCCCTGTGGTAGTTTGTGCCAGGAAATGAAGGACACAACCCACCATGGCAGGATAGCAAGGGAGCTGTTATTATAAGTGGCAAAAAGGTGGGAAGATGTTTTGAAGACCTGACCTGAAGAACAGGTTTGGTCAATGAGCCCTCACCCCCAGTAATGAGCTGACTGCCCACACCAGTGCCACAGTGTGTGGAGGGCCAGAAATGCTGTGTAAGTGCCAGTGTGGCAATGCCAGGAGATACCTGGTGTCAGAGAAATGCCTCTCTGCCTTGTTCTGAGCGGGACATTGGCATCTGTGTCCATAAGGATCTTGCCTCTGAGACAGAGAAATCCTTTTCATTTGCTTTGCTCCATTCAGTTTTAGTCCTGGCTGTCAGGGACTATGAGGTGTGTGACCTGCACATGTGAAGCATCCTCTCTTTTTCTTATCTATTTAACCTGTGGTCTTTGGTTGCTACTAAAGTACTGTAAAAATGCTTTAAAATAATATCTCACTAGTATGAGGATTACTTCTCAGTTTGAAACTGAGTTTTTAAACTAAATCCAAGGACAATGTTTTTCCTTGGCTGTGTGAGTCTTACCCTGCCAGGCAGGTAGGCACTCATGGTCAGTTAGAAATCAAACATATGGGAAGTTTCAGTGCACAAAGCCCAGTTCCACAATTTTTGTCCCCTTAAACTTTCATTAAATTGAGATGAAGTCTGGGGATAAGCACTGGATGCAGCATGGGTGCAGACAATGAAAAGAGCTCGTTGATGAGCAAGTTAACACAGCACTAACAAAAGAATTGGTGTCAGACTTCACTGGGTTTTATGTTCATTCAGTTTATTTGGCTGTTGTCTGCTTGTATCCTTGGAGCTTTTTCAGTTCCTTGTGGAAAAGAGCAAAATATACAATCCTTATTTAGTTTTCTTCAGAAGTGTCCACATTAAACAGTGAGTTAATTCAGTAGAGGTGCATGACATATAGTTTTTTATATAAATGTATAAACATCAACACAGAATATTGACTACATACCACATAAGCAACATACACAGTGCAAAAAATTGTCTTCATCAATACTCTGGTAATCTGTATCTTCTGGATACACCACGTTTATTCAGGAATGTGTTTTAGGGGCATAGGGAGGAATTCATGTAAGAGAAATAGAGAAACAAAGATACCCCAAGATCTTCCTACTGATGCCTACACTGATTTTGAGTGTTACCTTCTTGCTGCTGTGCCATAGCAAGAGCTTTGGTAAAGGTTGTACAGCTCTGGGTCTGAGCCCAAGGGGGAAGTGGTTACAGCTTTGTAGGGGTGAGAAGAGCTGTGCTGGAAAACACTGTGACGTTTAAGCTGAAGCTTAAACAGTAAAAGCATCATTTCCCATGTGCCATCATGGAGTACTGGAGCCTGGAGCTCTGGCTGGGGATGAAATGTGTGCCCTGCTGTGTGCCATGGGGCTGCTGCTGCCTATCCTCAGCTCACAGCCAATGGGGTCCTGGTGGGCAGCTGGGCCAGGGCTTTCTGCTGCCTCTCCACTGCTGGAAGGACTTCTTGTGTCTCTGCCTGCTCAGCCTGAGTTAGGACAGTGTGACCTAGCCTTCCCTTTCCCTTCTGGACACCTGCTGGAAATGACCCAGACACCCCTTAGCCATCATGGACTGCATTGTGTGCAGCCCCACTCTGTGCTTGGTGGACACCACATCAAAGGGAAAGAACTTGATTTATTTTGTTCTCCCCAGGTAATTTTTTCATGCTTAAAAAGAGCAGTAAAATACTTTCAACCTTTTCAGTGCTGACCTTTCCAAGTGGCTCCCACCCAAGGACTTGCATAAATGCCCCTGTCCCAGCCCGGGTAAGCTGATAACAGTGATTTCACTGTTGCATATGGAGTGACAGATTGACTCTACTGGAGTGCATTTCCATCTGTGGCAAAATTACAAATTAATGTGCTGAATTTTTTTGAGCTCTTTGGTCAAGGTTACTTAATCTGTGCCATAACCCCTCACAAAACCCCAGCACAGTAATTCTGGCTTGTTCCTTAAACCGATGTTATCTATGGAGTTATCACACAGTGTTCTTTACAAGAATATTCTGTGTACAAGCATCCTTAGCAACACCTTTTTATCCTTGGAGAAATCTGGACTTTTTTTTCCCACTGAAAAAATGGTTGATGCTGCTTCTTCCTTATGGTTTTAATCATAACCTGCATGAAAAGCTTCAAAGTTGGAAAGGATGTAATAGAGCATTTCAGATCTTGTTTGACCCATAGTGATAATCTGCACTGGATTTCTGAAATATGTGTTTAGAATAAGCATATGAACAAGGGGCTTAAAAAACTATTGCAGAGACTGTGCCCTGAGATGGGGTTCTCAAGGACTGAAATGGAGTTAAGGGCTTATATAGTCCAGTCTGTCACAGAAGCTCCATACCTGTATGATACGTGATGTAGATGTTCTACTCAAGCTGCGAGGTCAAGCAACAGCCCTCTGAAATGAAACACCCCACTGATCCAGGGAGACTAGGGAGTGGTATAGTAACTTTTTTAATAAATATGTGGTAAGTGCCCAGTTTCCCTTAATTTATATATGGATCCACTGAAGATGTGGATAGTAGATTTCGTTTAACCAAGTATTAACTTCCCAGCTGATGAGGTCCACTGAGCCCATTTAAGAACCAGTGTCCAAAGGCAGTTGGTGAGTAATGCTCTTCAGACTTTGTATCAGGGCTGATGTGAGAAGCAAGAAGCCAAGATATGCCTGAAAGCACAAGTTTAGCTCTATATGTGGATACCCCAGGGCACAGGTGCCACCTAAGTGTGCCAGGCTCTGTTCATATGTGGTGCAAGTGCACCATCCACCTCAGCTTGGCTATACCAGCAGCAAGAAGAGTCTCAGCTTTGTGAAGTGGCAACTGCAAGGAGGCAGCTCTGACCTTTGGAAAAGGGGATGAGAAGCACTGACAAATAGTTTTGCATCAGGACCTATGTGCCCTTAGCCCCTGGTGCCTACAGATGCCAGCTGTGTGCAGGGTGGTTAACAGGACAGTGGCCTGACACTGGTATGACATTACCACATCGCCCCCTCTCTATCACAGGACACATTTTCTGGGTCCCTATGGTAGCACGTGTCCAGAGGCTGGGTGAGGGGTTTGAAGCTCAGTGATCCCAGGGCAAGAAGCAATTTGTCTGCTGCATCCATAGGGATCTGCTGCCTGGTCACTGCATGCATCTGTGGACTCCCATGCAGGAGACACCCAGCTTTTGCTTTCTGCACAGAGCATTTGACTTCCACTTGGGGTGTTGATGGAACCGTTCAATCTATTTTCTGCCTGAGCCTAAACAGCCATTTTCAAACAGGGTTGAAATGCAGTTTAAAGGTGCTTGTGAAGAACAGTTGCACCTGCCTGTGCTGCATTGGTATGGGCACACAGAGATTGGTTTTTCTAATAGTATAGGTGTGCTGCTGGGGGACACAGCCTCAGCCAGGCTTGACTTGCACACTGGTGCAATACCAGTGACCCTTTTGAAAACCATTATGGTCACCTGGGCTGTTCTCAGTAATACACAAGTTGTCCCTTTTAGTTACCACGCTAGGTTTCCAGGCGGTGCTCCAGAGCTGCAGCTGCCCTCTTGTCCCCTTGTGCCTGGTGAGCCTACCTCCAGGAAGAAGCAGGAGTCCCCAAGCAGTTCCTCCACAGACTTCCCTGGCTCAAATGTTCGCTGTGTCTCTAGAGTTAACCAAGAGTTAGCTGGTGGTTAGCATGCACCCACAGTCTGGGGGGGGAAATATCATTCTCTCTGCATCCACTCGTGAGTACTTCTTCAGTGACCACTGCACTTTTTCCACAGTGATTCCCTCCTGGGCTGGGAAAACCTTTTCCATGCCTTCTACTGGAGCGAGTGTTAATAACTGTAAGTAGCCCTGACGATGTGGCTGTGAATGTTCACCAAGTACAGAGATGTCAGCGGGTGTGGGTTAGCACTGGCCTTTGTAGGATCCCCGTTGAGTTTTGGCAGAAGCTATGCTGCTTTCTCATCTCCTATCACCGTTGATGTTCTTCTCAGGTTTTCCTTGACTTTGATGAATTCTGGTGCATGGTCTTCCTGTTTCTCCTGCTCTTTCTCCAGCTGTGAGAAAGAAGAGTTACTGTGCATACTAAAGGATAGAAGAGCATTAGCTATATTAAAACGAGGGACTTCATTATTGCTGGGTCCAGTTATTGTTGCCCAAAGTTGAATGAGTGTGTAGTGCTCATGTTGGGCCTCTCTTTTTACAAACCAGACCCATGTTCACCTTTAGTCTCTTTTTCTATCCCACTGAAACATTAATTATTTTTTTTTCCCTCCAGGGAGGAACATCTCCATCAGCAAAGCAAGGGAGTGCTTCACTTCAGACCTGGCATGGGGGCAGGAGGAGGAAGTTTTACTCCTTCCCAGCAAAGGACACCTGTGAGCTTGGGAAAGGCTCTCAGCATTAGGTATTGTCTAAGGCAGGGTAAGTTCATTGTACTGCCTTACTTTTACATGCAAACTCTTTATGGATCTGTCCCTAAACCACCTTGTTTCATATTCCTAGTTCTCTGAGAGTGCCAGACTTTGATTTTCAAGTGTTCTCGGCTTGGCTGACATTATTGTGTTGTTAATTAAATAAACTGGTTTCATCCACTTGCAGTGCAAATACTGGCAAGTAGGACAGGGATTGACTTTATCTTCAGTGGCACTGAGCCTGCTCACTGCTTGCACAGGTTTAGGTATGAGGAAAAGCACAGAGCACTCAGGGCATGGCTGTGCTGCTAAGCATACCCCAAATATTGCCTTCCCCTGGCATACTTTTGGCCAGGGTACACGCCAGGAACTGCTCCCAAAAGCAGTTTGGGTGAGATTACAGCAATGTTTCTTCCAGCACTTCTACAGCATCACACCCCACACAGTAGTTCTGAACACCAGTGATGGGTGCAACAGCCCCCATGCTATTGAACTGGAAAACACATCCCAAGGACACTGTATGGGACCCAGAGGAGATCCAGGGTCAGTGGTATGTGGTGAGGGTCCTGTGTGATACAAATATGGTGAATCCCACTGTGAGGATGAGGGTGCTGAGTTGCAAAGGATGAACTGTGGCTCCTGTCTTATGGAGAGGTAGCAACACTATATTTTGGGTTCAACCTCAGCCAACCCATCTCCCTGTGCCTTGTGTCAGGTGGTTAGGATAATCTGGGGATGACTGAAAGCTCAGTTCTACCTGATCCAGCCTCTGGTGCCTCTTTAGTAGCTCTTTTTCAAAAGGAGACTGCAATTTCTTTGCCTCTTCCTCTTCCTTCTTCTGTTTGATGAGCAGGTCTCGCCGTCGGTGCTCGAGCACTCGCTGCAGCTCTGGTTTGCTCTCCACACCCAAACCTCTGTGGATAAAAAGCAAATAAATAAGGGGCAGAGCACCTACACCCTGGGGTGTAACAACTGCCAGCCTGGCAATGCCAAAACTCTTCTTGGTCCTAAATGGAAACATCGGATACCTGGTCCACAAACCCACCTTGGTTCACAGATCCATCCACAAGGTGTTACCATACTGCAGGAATGGTGCCTTGGTCTGCGGGCCTGGAGTGGACACGTGTATGGGGCACGTGGTGCTGGAAGTTCTGCTGATCCCATTGCACTGAGGTGCTACAGCTTTCTGCATCGGGTGTGGAAACGGGACCTTCTGTTGGCACCTGCTATTACTGGTTTTAATGGTGTCAGGTAAGGACTCAGCTGCGTTGAGGGCATTGAAATAATGACGATTTTTTTCCCACCAGCAGGGGTAGTCATTGATCTGCAGTAATTGTCCTGGCAGCTCCTTTCCTCCCCGCGCATCCCATCTGAAGATTTGCTTCGGAGCTGCGTGTGGCGATCACTGTGTTGACGCGGATAGTTTGGGTCAAAATGAAATGTCCTTTTCATCTGGAAGCTGGAGGGTTTGCTGATGGCACAGGTGCCTGTCTCCCCTTCAGCTGCCTGAAGCATCTCAGATGAACTCCTGTTCTGTGAGTGTTGGGATCACAGAAAAGGAGACATAGCAAGGCCATGCAGGCAAGGCATAAATATGTGTTAAAGAGATAGAAGAAGGTCTCTGAACTAATTTCAGAAACCTCACACTTTGGATATTGCCATGCCTGAATTTAGACACAGATTTACCTCCTGCAGCTGATCCTGGCCACGTTCTCACTGGCTTCTGCCCCACTGGAAGCATGGGAGTAGGTATGGGTGGTGTTTGGTGTTCCTGTGGGTGAAGGTCTGTTTTGAGGTGAGGAGGGGACCTCCCCAGGCCTGTGCTAAGGGCATGCCCAAGGCATGACACGTTGGGATGCACTATTCAAGCAAAGTTCCTCCTCAGCACTGGGAGGTCTCTGTTAACCGAAGGCTGTTTGGTTTTGGCTAAGGTAATTTGAAAGCAGAGACATCAAACCCTGTGTGCTATGAGTTCCTTGGCCATGTGGAAGGTGCTGAGGTGATACCTCACATCATGAGCAACTGAACTGGCAGGCAGGAGAGGGAAGTGCTCTCCAGATGCAGCAAACCTCTGTGCTGTCACAGCATGGCTAGGGACCAGTGCTTGGCATCCTTCCAGTGCCACGTTTACATGATGTTTCCTATTGTAATTTCTTTTTTTTTGCTTTATGACAGGACAAAGTTCACAGCAACGTCAGTGGAGGCAGCCGTAGACTTGGCCTCAGAGCTTTCATGGTGGTTTTCAAGGCAGAAAGAACTTGGATGCTGCAAAATTGCTTTTCCCACGGCTTGAGAGAAGGCAAACCTGCCTTGGCTTGCTGGAGGCACAGCAATGTTGCCGGTGGATTTGTTACTATTCCTTGATTTAATCATCATGTGTTGTTAGTACCCAGAGGTGTTGACTAAGATAAGGATTTTGTTACACAAGCTGCTGATCTGAGTTGCTTCTTCCTGCTGCTCGAGGGGAAAAACCAACACCAAAGCAGAAACAGAAACAAATCATA